CCTCGATTATGGAGTACGTACTTTAACTTCAAAATTGCTTTAAATTACATATCATGTTCGATCTGTAATATTTGTTCTGTCGTATTGACTGGATAATGTGAATTTTATTCTTTCAGGAGAATGACTCGTTAAACGACGAAAATCGATCACTGCCTGGATGTTACACTCCTGAAGATTCCGATTTTGTCGAAGACGTCAAAAATTCAGAACCACCTGAGTATGTCAAGCAACTTGCTAATACTGGTATGTGAAACAGTTTCTCCGGCGTATATTGCCAATTTTCATCACAAATAACAGCTACTCAACAGACATGATATCAGTGATAAATGAGAACCGAGAAATTAAATGCAGAGGGGTAACCCTGCGATGGACTGACATCCTATTCATGGGGAAGTAGAAATACTCCTAGTCGCTTCATGCTACAGAAGCCGGAGATAAACGCCGGCCCGATGGGCCACTAGGCTCATATGCAGTCTTTATCTTACTTATAAAACAAAAACGAGGGCCGTATTGAGTGAATATTTTCACCAGGTCTTGACATTTCTGATTGAGCAAAATTAAGCGAGTTCGGTCCAAAATGCCTATGGTTAGGGCCGCTATTCTCCCAGTAAGCGGTCTCAATTAAGCTTAGTTAATCACGAACATACAAGCGTAATAGAACCGTATTCTTATTATTTACTTATTTATTTGTAAATTTCAGCTGATTTTGCTAACTTCGAGATAGGCACACTCCTCGGAGCTGGTTCATTTGGAGAGGTCGTCGCTGCAACACGCAAGAAAGACAATGTGCCGGTATGTTCATTTAATGTTGGTTTCTTCTTCATCAAATGATCACCGTGATGATTCGATTTGGAGGGGGACCATTTGCCTTTTGAGGGAGGGGTGGGTGATTTTGAAAAGCAAATAGCTTGCAAGCATATCATACTTTATCCAAAAAAATTCATGTACGCCACCCTGAATTCCGAAATAAAAAATCCACGCTCGTTCAGTGTGCTGATATAAGCATGTTACACAGAAAAAACATTATACATACACACGAACAGAGAAAAAAAATTTCCTAGTGTATGAAAGCTTTAAAAGAAAAAAAAATATTCAACTCTGATTGTAGCTAATCACTCAAGCACACACCTCTCCTCAAAAGTGTTAAATGGCGCACCCTTTAACTCCCTCCTTCCTATAAGCGACCCTAAAGCAAACGTGACTTTCAAGACATTGACACAGAATAGATTGATTAGAATAATAAAATACGAAGAGTATGAAAAAGGGTACTGAATTTTGTTTTGCTTTCAGGTGGCGCTTAAATTTGTAAAGAGGAATTCAGTGTCCGAGTATAAAAAGGTTAGTAACGTCACAACAACATCAACAACAACAACAACAACGACGACGACGACGACGACGACAATAACAACAACAAGAATTGCTTATTTTCCGCCTTATTTCGAAAGATCTCAAATTTACCCCAAAGGGGTAAATTTTAAAACTAGAAAGAAGAGCAAACTTATATTTCAGCTCCGACGAAGGGCTAAAGCCTTAAACTTCAGCTTTCGCCAGGGATAGCTAAGTGTATCAATACCTCACCCTCCCTCCCCTCTCTTGTTATAGCTGAATGGGCGACTGATCCCCGCCGAGGCGTATCTGCAACGTCTAGCACGTCACCGCCACGTCATCAAAATCTACCAGCTAATCTTCACAGACGAATTTTACTGTTTCGTAATGGAGCGACCGGAAGAATGCAAGGACTTGTTTGACATTATACAAGACCGAAATAACGAGAACAAGCCGCTAACAGAGAAAGAAGTTAGGAGGTACTTCGCCCAAATCTTAGAGGCCAACATTAAGTGCGAAGACAGAGGTGTCGTTCATAGAGACATCAAACCAGAAAATATCTTGGTGGACATGCACACTGATGAAGCCAAGTTGATTGATTTTGGGTTGGCATCTGAGATCCAGAGAGAACCTTTCACGACATTTAGAGGTAAAAATTGTTCCGAAGATGTTCCTTTTAGTTCAAATAAAGGCACTGTGTAGACTTCACAAAAAGGCATTAATTATCTTGTGCGAGTTAAAACTTTTAACAATTCGATTATGAGCTCGAGATTTCTATCGCGTAATAGATGACGAGAGCGCAGCCCGAGTCAGCTGTCACGCATAGAAATCGAGAGCGAATAATCCAGTTGTTTTAGAATAAACCTACTAGTCGTTCAAAATGCTAGCTGAGTCCTCTTCACAGACACTTCGAAAACACAAGGAAGCGGCCGCCATTTTGTTAACAACCGCAAACTGCCAGGCTGCTCACTATCTTCAACAGAATAGCTAGTGAGTAGCGTAGCCAATCAGAGAACGGCATTCGTGATAGAACGCTGGCAAATTTATACTTTAAGTTTACACTATAAGTCTAGTGAAATTATCGAGACATCCATCTTCAACCTGGTCAAAATTAGTTCGTATAGTGTGATCGTCCGGGTGAGTGTAGTTCTGAAAAGAACTGTTGTTGGTGACTGACGTTTCGACAACCTGAGTGGAAGTCATCTT